GCAGTCTAAATCCCACAGGGATCAACGAACGCTTTTCATTCCACTAGTTTATTTATGTTTTTCTCGTTGCCATGCTCCCACCAATAACGTAGCTCCATTCTCTGCCTTTAAAAGCACACACAACCCATAATTTCTCTATTCGCTCCGACGAAGAGTTAACGCTCGAAACGTCAGCTTTTGAAATCATTACGGTGGTTAATTTACCACTTCAACTTTGTTGATATATCCAAATTATTTCGTTACTCCCACCGACGCAGTCCCAAACAGTTTCTTTCGAAACTATCAGCCTTTAAAGGAAGACAGCCTTCAGATACTTCTAATGACGTTTTGGTGACGAACTCTGAGCACTTTTCCCTATTATTAGTTTTAACATTTATCCTCATCGAACTAAACAGTATTTGGCTCTTTCTGTGAATTATTAATGACACATTGTGTCGCGTTCCCGATGCCGCAGACACGTAGTGTTGTGCACCGGAGTTCGCCAGTATAACCACAGTGATGAACTTTGGACAAGTAGCAGCATCAAACTCTTTATTCACTTAAGCTGGCAGGTTTTGTACAGCACAGGCGGTAAAAACTATGGAACGGATACATGAAGGTTCGATATAAGGAAGACCGAAAGGCTACAAATAAACGAATAGGGCGAAACTAGAAATGATAAAAATGAGGAATATTATCAGTGTAACTTACATCGAATCTTAACAACGGGGTAGAGCACTCCTAAACTCCGCTTGGCTCCCAAATGGTCTCGCTACAAAGACTCCTCGCAACTGAACAACGTGCTAATAGAAGGCGAATTTAGTTCTTACACTTTGACGTAAGGGAAATAGAAATGAACAATGCTTTGTGTAGATAGCTTCGAGTGGATATTCGCTAAACATGGAATAGAAATCAAACAAAGCGTGCTAACAAATTTAATAGACAGTCATTGAAAGTTTCTTAGTATCTTTGTGCTAAAAAGGAAAGAGTTACATAAATAAACGATTACAGTTCATATCCGTAAACGTGGCACATTGATTAAAATCTTCTTAATTACACGCAGTACTTAATGGAAGGGATAAACAGGAGATATCTTGCCTCCACTGCTTACATTATGTTTCTCAAGTTAATTTTCCTTAAAAACCTAGATCGGCTTCAGCATTTTAATAGCTTGCGCTTTCAGTGCGGCAAGCAAACCCGCCAAACTGTGCCGGTTAAGGTTAGGCTGGTGTTGTTTTCTTTGAGTTCCAGGTCCACCATACCTTAGAATTTTTCCTGCTGTGGATTTACACC